GGTGCTGAGATGTTTGCTGTCATTTAACCAAGATATGCTTGAAGTACTTAAGTATGTTTACATGAAGTGCTTGGAATTGGGCTTATGTCTTATATTTACAGGGATCTATATTCGAAATAATTTTTACAGAAAACTTTGCATGCATAAAGTTGGACGTGCTACCCTCTGCAGGATCAAAGGAAACAGAATATGGATGATGTATGTGCCAGCATTTCTCTCAAAATTAGAAAGAAATTATTTATAGATCAAACTCCTCCACACAACCCCCAAAAAAGAATTAGTCAGGCGCTTTCATGGTAATTATAGCAAACTTCATATATTAAGCAGTAACTCAGAGTTATTCCATGCCCATAATGATACAGCTAACTTTCTGAATCCTCTCTCAAGAAGTCAAATTATGTTTGATGTCCTTACTCATTCTGCAATCTATGGTGTGAAACTGGCATACTTGAAAATAAAACAAAATTTTAGCTTATATGTCATATCATAAAGTTTCTGTAGAATTAAAAAATCCATAAACTAGGTGAATTCAGTAAATAACACTTACTGAATCATTAACATTGAGTTTCAGATTTATTCTACTCACTCCATGGGCTTTCTGGTGAGAAAGTGCTATGATATGATGAAATGAAACCAAGTCTTTAACCACTGTAATATCATTTAGCATCTGATCTTACTATCACCGACATTAATACAAACAACAAATTCCCTACCATGGGTGAAAGGCTGTGTAGCTATAATGAATATTCCAAATAAAATCATCTTTCAAGTACACTCAAAAAAGACTTTGGGAGCGTGATATGAGATAAAGTTGCTGACTAACAATCTTTTTTCTCAGATGTTGAGCTTATTTTGTTCCTGTCTGATTCATTAATGCTGCTGATGTATTTGGGGTCTACACAGTTGTTTTTTTTTTTTTTTTTTTTTTTTTTTGTGTGTTTTAAAGGGGGGGGTGGGGGGTGCGGGGGAGAAGGGAGTGAGTAAAAAAGAAAAAAAAAGAATATTCCCAGAATGATAAAATCATCACAGCCTAACATAAGTTTGCTCCACTTTTTCTTTAAAAAGTGCCTTAACAACTTCCTGGTAATATTAAAGAACTTGTGAGTAAATATGAAGGTTGCTATAGCTGAATTTAAATATATATAGATAGGCAGTGAAACCAGAAGACACGCAGCTTTTAAGGATCTAATTAGAATTTAAGATACAAGCACCTCCAAATCTACAGCATCTCTGTGGATACAAACTACTGCATTCACAAAAAGCTACAAAATTTCTGTCAGAAATACGCATATTCTTCATTTTGATATAATTCAAATTGCCAGTAGTTAAGCAATATATATGAAGATATTCTTGCACTGACAGGAATAAATACAAAATTAATATCAACTACAACATGCTGTAGGCAATAATACAATCTTCTATCCTAAAGTTTGCTTTTTAATATCCCAGCTATACTTTCATCACCCAATAAGCATAGAAAATAGAGTGATCACATTCTCAGAACATACCTTTAACATACCTTTAAAGCAATCTTATTTGGGATATCATAAGATGACACTATATATTATATGAAAAGGTGCATGATATTTACTAAACAAAATCCAATATATGATATCTGTTTCTCAAGCTCAAATGCCACCTATGCATCAAATTTATTCAAAACAAATATGCGTTATCACAATATATCATTCACTAATGAGATATTAAAAAGGTATCATTGAGTCTGGACTAAATTGTTTGTTTGACTTTATGTAGTACATTGCATGCTGATGCCTTCAAATGATATTATTTTACATTGCTTTCAAACTTCTATTTTGAAGGCTTTCTGAGTATACACATACATATCTGTTCACAAACTTCATTTAACAATGTATTGATATTCAACAAGAACGAACCCTGGAAATCTTTGGACAGCATATGTGACACAATATTTCTAAGCAGTGCCAAGGTGAGAAAAAGGAAATATACCGAGGGCTTCTGTTCTGTTCCTAAATTGAGCAGTTGCTATTTTTCATGCTCTTTCCCCACTACTGGCCACATTCAAGTGAAGGTGAGTGTTAAGAAAAGCAGCTGTTATCTGGTCTTCCCCAGCCTGGGAAGTGCCCTGGACACTATAGTACAAAATTCAACTCACACAGTGGAGGTCACTAGGTTATGGCTCTTCCTCTGGATCAACATCATCATGAGTCAAAAATGTAAACAGTGAAAGAGTGAAAAAAGATAAGCATAGATTAGCAAGGAAACTTTGGTTGTTTTTCAGCTAATGGAGTAAGTTTCTCTGATCCTTAGTATGGTGTGAAATCTCAAATGTATGTTCTGGCAAATGTGGATACAATGAACACGGACAGTGACCAACTGTCATAACAATTCCTTATTGATAAGTAATAAGAGTTGAAGAACAAAACTTCTGACTGTGATTAGCACTGAAAGTAACTAATGGAAAAGACTGGACACAGAATTGTCAGTCATTTGGTGAATCAGAAACATCACTAAAGTCTAAGAAAAGTGACATCTAGTTTTCAGATAAAGGAGAAGAAAAATCTTAAAACTGAATAAGAATAAACAAAGTTCAAGGAAAAGTGTGAAATCAGACCACTACGCTTATATGAAGAGAAAAGCAGTTCCCAAGTTCTTCCAAGCCAATAATGTCCTGCCTTCATTGAAATAAATAAAATCATAAACGAGGCTGTAGAACATACTATTCTTTCTATTTTATTAAACATTGCTGACAAAAATCTACTGCATGTGGAGACAGAGCTTCAATCATCTTTTAGCCTACTGCTTACAAAAGGAGAACAAAAAAATGCTGACAAACATATTTTCATCTGTGGAGATCTATAGTATAGCTCACAATTAACAGATTCAATAGATGCTAAACACCTCATAAATAATATCACAGGGAGAATGTGATTTTTGTAACGTAATTTAAGCTCATGGTACATATTTACATGTGTATGATTTTATTGATAATTGTTCAATTGTTTTGGTATAGAAAAAAATGAAAATAAAATCATGAAAATTAGCAGCTGAATATAGTGCTGTCTTATGTATTAATCTTCACTTATATTTGATCTGATGTTTGCAGTTCTAATTTTAAGTTTTAGTTGATAGGTATTTTCTACTTGGTCATAGAGTCTTAGAAAAAATAAGTTTATCCTCCATTCAGGAAGATCTAGGTGGAACCACAACTCGTGCTTTTAGAAAGCACAGAAAGTTCAATTGATTGTTCAATAAGCCCAACTCCTCATAATATCATAGTATCAATTATTTCTGGTAAACATAGAACTGAGTGTTGTTTTCTGTTGTGTAAATTTGAAAGATAATTGTCCAGTTGGCTTAACAGAACAAGCTTCTATAATTACTTCTACTGAACAAACTCAGTTAGGAGCATCTTTGATGTTAACAACTCATCACTAGAAGGCAACATGCTATATATAAAGACTTTCTAGATTTTCTGCTTTATTGTCAGTGTTTCCATTACGGCAGAGTCAACCAATTCACCAAGCTAAGCATGAGCGAGCAGCATGTTATTGCTGCAAAGAAGGCTAATGGTATCCTGAGCTGTATTAGACAAAGTGCTGCCAGCAGGTTTCCCTCTATTCTGCTGTGCCATCTCTGTGATGAGTCCACATCTGGAGTACTGTGTCCAGTTTTGGGCTGCCCAGTGCAAGAGAGAGTAGCAAAGGGCCACAAAGATGGAGAAAATAGAGAATGTCTTCTTTGAGGAAAGGCTGCGAGATCTGGCGAAGAGAAAGCTCAGAGGAAATCTCATCAAAGTATACCTACAGGGAGAGTGCAAAGAGGACTGGCTCTAGGGCCCAAAGATAGGACAAGAAGCAATAGGTACAAACTGAAACACAGAGGTTTTGTCTGACCATTAGGAAACATGCTTCCCTCTAACACAACCCTGAAGATCCTGACATTTTCCTAAAGCTTTAATTCCAGGCACAGAATTCAATTATAGACAAACTATTTCCTCACCAGGACAAAGTGTCACTGACATTAAACTGTAAATTCACAGGGAAGGATAACCTTTTTGATTTTAATTATAAATGCAACTGTAAATGACAATAGAGCACAGTCTTTCATTTTATTGTCATGCCCCATCTAATACCTCAATTTTGTCAATAAAATGAAAAACAAATACAACTTACCGTTACTTTTCTAAGACTTTAAAATTTAAGAATATAGACAACTAGACATGGACACAAATGATACATCACTCAGGAACTGGTATCTATACATCATGAGAGCATTTTTTCTTCAGTGAATTTTAAATACCAAGATTATGATGTTCTGATATCAAGATAAATGCTGATAAATCAGACATCTTAATTTCTTCTACTGTGGGGTTACTGTGACTGGAAAACACAATTTGCGTTTATTGAAAATAAAATCTTAACTATATATGCCTCAAAAACATAATGAATAAAATCATAGCAGCAAAATTGTACCACCTCGTTCTCATGTTTAGCATAAATTCAAAGTGAAATTTTAGTTTGGGGAAAAGAGCTTCAGAAAAGACATCCCAGACAAAGAAAATTTAACATAGCAGATTTCTAAATTTTCACTGCAAGAAAAAGGGTAATTATATGCTTTAACCATGCAAGATCCTAAAGCAAGTTTAATTATAGCTTTTGAAAAATTGGGTAAAAGAAGAAATTGTTTGTGCAATGACATCACTGATAGAGAACACTGTTGAAATGAAAGAGGAAAAAACATAGTTTACAGTACAAATGTTACTAATAATTACTGTAAATAAGATAACTCTTTTTTTCAACATCTATTTTCAAGTACTTATAACTTTCAAATAAACTTCTTCCAACTAAATATCTTCAGTTTCCTCTACACATTAAATCTGGATACAATTTGTAAATATAAGATAAATTAGCACTTAATTCTCAGATTATCATCTAACTCTGCTACACTATTCTTGTAATGTATTTTCCTCTTAACTCTACTATGTAAATCATAGTGCACATAATAAGCTATTTTCTTACCATCAATCCTTTGAGTACTTTGGACACTGGTGAGAATATCAAAAACCACATAGACACGATCCACAGGTTTTGTATTTCCAGAGTGCTTGCATGCTCTCAGGATATATTATTCCATGTCTTGTACACCTGTCGCTCTACCTGTAAAATAGAAATCATATCTACTGAATGTCTTAAAAGGACTCGGAATATGAAGAGTTTCACAGTCTGAGAGCATGATATATGACACCAAATCAACATATGATGTGCACCACAACATGCAAAGCAAATTGGAAAAAAAAATGTAGTAGTAGAAGGGAAACACAAACAAAAAAGAAAAACCCACTAAAAATAAACATCATTCTTTTCAGTATCTGAGCAATCCATAGCTGATACTAAATAATTTAAGATTTCTGAATGTGGTATGATACAAATGTACTTTGACAGTTGTTGACTCTAATCAGATGAATTAAAAAGTGAGAGAACAATTTAGGATCTAGCAATGAATGAAGGCAGTAGGCACCATATTTATGCTCGTAGGTGCTCTGAAATATGGTATAAATTGGTAAAAAAAAAAAAGAAAAAAAAAAAGAAAAAACAACTTTCACCTGTGTTTTCCAAATTTTCTCATGCAGTCTTTATCTCTCACTTCTATCTCCACATTCCCATTAATTCCCATGGAAGTTGTATGGTGTTTTAAAGAGCATAGCAAACCTGAAATACCTAATGATCTTTCAGCATCAGTCTAAATAAGTGGAATAAAAATCATAGAATCACAGAATCATAAAATGGCTTAGGTTGGTAGAGATTTTAAAGATTATCTAGTTTGGAATTTACCTGATTACTGCTACACTAGAACAGACCAATGGTCTTTCTAGTCCACTGCAGCATCACTTCCATAATGAATGCATATTCCATAGTAATTAGTTCCACAATATTCACTTCATTAAAAAGTGAAAGAGTAAAAGAATAGATTTGCACTCAAGTACAAGGGGAATATGTAAACATGCTATGGAGGCAGTAAGAGGAAATAGTTTCATTATACATCTTTGTTCCCCTTGGGATAGGATTCCACAAGAAATTCTAAAGAAAGTTGTGAGAAAATATTTCTAATGATTTATTGAATGTGTGATAGAAATGTTCATAAGAATCTAAAAAATTCTGTCATGACTGGTGAAAATGATTATTAGAATAATGATTATTTAAAGTGTGCATTTAATATTTTTATCTGTTAGTGATACTTCAGACTCAGTTTTCTTATAATCTCTCCAACATCTTTCCCAGTGTAGATGGTGAATTTTAAACTGAAACCTACCTTACTGAATCAAATCTGATCTTCAAGATCTATGGAGGAGTGTCTTTTAAAGGGGATTTCTGTGATGATGAAGGTAAAAATCCTGCAAGAAATGAAACATTACTTTAAGGAGCTGTACAGCAATGCTGTAGGATTGTTTAGAAAATAAAAAAATAATAGTGATGTAATGCGTTTGATTTTGTTGAATGTCTATCATAATGGTTTCCTTTCTTTCGCCTACATTTCTCCTTGCTAATGCATTTCCTAACAATATTACCTGCTTTAATCTCCTTCGTATATATTCAAGTATAAATTATCTCCAACATTATGAAAAAACCCACAAACTTATTTAAGGTAGGAGAAATGGTAATGGTGTCAAAGTTTTCGGCTTTGGGCAATAACTCTGGGTAATAACAAGAAAACTGGGATACTAGGGTAAAGTTTTCAAATTTTATAAAAATTGTATGCAAACACATTCAGTGAAAATTGGGAGGACAGGGGACAGGGTCTTTCATTGAAAGTATTTCAAGTGGAACTTATTCTCAAAAGCTCACTTTGTTAATCCAGCTCCATTTAAAATGGGTTCTCCTATGAGGAGCCAGCTAAAATTAAATATGAGTTTTGGACGAGCCATTCAGTAATTCTGTGTGAAAAGCACATTCACAAAAGCAAGACTTAACCATCTGTGGTTCTAAAGTACATAAAGCTCACTTAACTAGAATTCCTATTCTAGAAATTTGGAAGAGAAGAGATATTTAGGTCCAAAGTACAAATGTAATGCAAACACTACCAAAAAGAAGGCTATAAATATATTGTTTTAATTTTGAATTAAAAACTTTTCCCAGAAATGGCCTGAGATTAATATTAAAATTAATAATTTTAAAAGAAAAACACTGATAACATCATACTACTCCTAATTTGCTGTTTTGTGGAAACAAAGGTTTTTTGCTTGATTTTTTTCTATTTTATTTTCATATTTTGCCCCCTCCCTCCTCAAGTTATATCATTTATAGGAAAAAATAAAAATAAAAATAAACACAAATAGTAATAAATAACTGGTTTTAAAGTGAATATTTTTACACAAGTATACTTCTCCTTATCATTGAATTAAGAATTAAAATAGTTATTAAATGACATGGTAAGACTTAGTTGTTGTTATTTTCAACCTTGTTTAGTATTGATTTGTTTTTAATAGTCCCAAACACTACAGGAATAGATATTTTCATAAAAGAGTTTTTCATACATCTGTGACATTTAAAACACAGACATCATTTCTAATTTATTTATTCTAAAATAACATTACCTTTGGTTATCACAATGTACTTATTAAATCTGTAAATGAATATACTACAACGAGAAGTAGATGCAGACCAGTCTGTGACTATTTTAGCCTAAAAGTTTTCTAGTTTATAGGCAGAATGTCATGTTTCCTGTTAAAATAATGCCTTACAGAAAATAACTTGAGCTTGCTGAAGTTAGCTCATTTGCTAAAGTATAGGTGGAAAGACATCAAAACATCACAAAATCTGACTGTTCTACAAACAAAGCCACTAGGACAGATTTTAAGTGGCATTCAGTTGCTGAAATAAGTGGATTGGAACATTTTGGGATTTACACAGTTTGTCTAGGTGCATTAATCACCTAACTCCATATGTCTTCATCTTTAAAGGCCTTTCAAGCAAAAGCACCATTTCTTTGTTTGCTAATATTGAGAAAACAACATATCCTAAATGTGTGAAGTCCATGTGTAATTTACAAAAGTAAGGAATATTTCAGGTAGTCAGCACCATTCATTTCAACTTAATTACACCAAGTTATTTGTGGCTATTCCGTTTTCAAAAAGTCTTAATTTTTATTTCTTACTTCCTTTCAACAGAAGAAAAACAGCATCTTGTCATGATGATATTAGGTGGGAGGCTGAGTACAGCAGGATGGGTCAGTTATTAAACCTGCTGGTCAGTAATGAAAACCCCAAATCCCTTAACCTAGGTTATTATATTAACTGAGGTTATTCTGTGCAGACAAAAAATATATTAGATAATATACTCACAGCTTGAAATTTATTTACAGAATATAATATTAAGATACAAAGAATATCTGAGATATAAACCTTGATGCAGGAAACTTGAAATACTAGCATCTTATATATTCCACCTTTAACAAGCTGACTGATGCTTGCTCTGGGCTAGTTCTGTATTTCACTCATGCATACCTTTGGGATTTGATTCTGTAAGACATTTAAATGAGATACCTATAGAGCAATTGTACTAATGAGACCTGTATTCTAAGCTCTAGAATGGCAAGGATTTCTGCTTTTGTTAAATGAGAGCAAGTATATACATCGAAGCCCTTTGTCACACAACAGTGTGGGAGTAGAAGAGTTTGTTAGGTAAGGTGATAGGAGTGAGAGGGAAGTACTAACTACTTGCAGCAATAACACAGTATTATTCATTGCATGGTGTGTCACTCTGATTGTCACAATGCACAGCAGAAAGCATATATTGAGAACAGTACCAAGAGGGATAGCAGAGACACAGGTCATTTTGGGGAAATAATTCTGCCACGATTCAAGCACAGGGTTTTTGCTTGTTGTTGAATGGTTCTGGCAACATAAGCTACCAACAAACAAAATTACAGATCAAGACATATTTGTGAAGGTTTCCTGAGAAGGTGTTAGAATTTAGCGTTTAAAGTACTCTGTTAATATTATTTAGCCACATTTATTATCCTTTGAGAATGTGATCTGAACACATGGGCCCAATGTGCAAACAACTGTATGGGTATGGGTCTCAGTAAAAGACTATCATATCAAGGAAGTAAAAGACTATCATATCAAGGAACCTGAATTAATGATCTAATTTAATCAGAAATTTAATGCTCGAAATAACACAAAATATGACCCTCCTAGTCTGACCATTCCCTAGTTCAATGAATACTTGGAGAATAGGGAGAGAATATATTAGAACAATGATGCTGCTGGCAAAGGTGGTAAGAGAAGGTCAGGATGAATGCTGGACAGAAAACTAGAAAACATTTGTACACTCATTCTCAATACTAATAGCTATCAATACCAATAGCTATGATTGTTTTCTTTGTTTTGGTTTTTATTTTTGTTTTGTTTTTAAATATATATATTCAGAATTGTTATTCAGTGATTTACGGCGAAAGTTGTTAAGAAAAAATCAACAAGAACAAAAAATTGACAATTTTTTAATGGGAAAAAGCAGCTTTAGAGAAAAATTATATTATCTCAGCATGGATTAATTCAGAACCAATCCAGATAAAATGAAAGAAAGTAAAATTTAGTTATAGGTAATTTTAGAATATAAATATAAAGTTATTAATATATTATTAAAATTTTCTGATTTCAACAGACACTTGACAATTAGCAAAAAATTTAAGATAGTCTGTGGCTGTGCATGGTGCATATGCATTGCAATAGGAAGAATTGTTTCCAAAAGGTTTCTAACGCTTCAAACTATTAATTGTCAGTTCGTATTTGACAAGAAAGCATAAACATTGAGTTTGCTAGAAATACTTTCACTAGAAAAGTTGAATTATTTGTTCTCTTATACAACATGACTGTCTGCTGTACTTTTACCTACTTATATTTACACATAAGTATGCGTTTGTATATACATGCATACACACATTTTTGTCTGCTCCTGTCAAGCAGAGTCAGAACAATTTTCCTTGCAAATACAGCTTTAAGCATCAACCTAGATAAATAAATAAATATGAAATTTAGTAGATTTCATATGAGAAAAAAAATCAGAAGACATGAAATTCTATTACGTATCAGTATATAA